AGTGCATATCAAAATCAACAGTTCTTACTGAAACCATCGCTTTCCTTTCTGGCAGGAAAAAAAGTGGTCAGTGATTGTACTAATTTCTATTCACTGTCAGAAGTCATAGTCCTTAACCTGGGGTCCATAGCTTTCATTAGATGTCCCTTAAAGTTTGATAGTCACTATACCGGAGAGGTTTGTATGTGTGTGTGTGTGCATGAGAGTTCATCATTTGTTCTAAAGATCCTACTTGTCATTCTAGTCCCAAGGGCAAGGTTGGTCAGGCATGGTGATCTGTATCACCACTTACTTTTCTCTCCACCACTCTGGTGAGCACTATTTATCAATAAGGACTTTGTTTAAAGGGACCCTACAAGAGCAGTTTCATTTCATGCTCTTTGGATCCAGAGATTTACTTTTCAGGAACTAAATGTAAGTCTTTGGAATTGACTCTTTATCACTGAAATTTTAAGAATAAAAAATGTTATTGTTGTTGTTATGTGCCGTCGAGTCGGACCCAACTCATAGCGACCTCTCTTTGGGTTTCCGAGGCAGTATCACTATGGAAGTAGATTGCCCCATCTTCCTTCCGAGGAATTGCTGGTGGGTTTGAACTGCCAGCCTTTTGGTTAGCAGTCCAGTGCCTTAGGCACTATGCTACCGGGGCTCCCAAGAATAAAAAATGGTGCTTCTTAAAGTAATTGTTGTCTGTTAACACAAAGAGTCTTCATGCAGTTCTTCATTTTGATGTAAATAGTCATGATGGCTCCCTGAAGTTCAGAAGTGGTGTTTGTCCATTTCCACATTTTTCTAATATAGAATGTCAGTGTGGTGGAGGAAATGTGACTAATCTGAAGGACTCTGGAAGATTCTGGGATAATGTAGGAAGTAATCTGAGGCATAGTTTATAGGTTATTAGTTCTATGAGAGAATTATGAAGTCCATGTTGTTAGTGAACTGGCAAATTGGAGCATGCTGCGCAATGAAATAAACTGCCAAATTAACTTGAGATAAGATGAGGCTGTACCTGTCATTTTTTTCTCTATTTTTTCTGAAAAAAAAATTCATGATTTTTTTAAATCACAAAAGTAACATCTTTGTATAAAATAGAAAAGCATAAAGAGGGAAGCAAAAATAGGAACCACTGTCCTTTTCACTGCTAATATTGTTTTAGTGTGTGTTTTTCAGTATGTCTTCTGTGCATTTGTACAGTATTTCTTTACATGATACAGTATCATAGTATTGAATCCTGGTTTTTTTGCTTATCAGATGAATTAAAACTAAGAGCCAAGCACCTTATGAAAAGATTCTTGAAACTTATTGCAGAAATCATAGCGGGTTTCAATAATTCAGCCAAATTTTATTACTTGTAATTATATTTGGCCTACTCCATTTTATGGGAGCTTTGATAGCGTAGTGCCTAAGGCATTTGACTGCTAACCAGAAGACTGGCAGTTCAAACTCACCAGCCACTCCTCGGAAGGAAGATTGGGCAATCTACTTCATAGTGATACTGCCTCGGAAACCCAAGGAGGGGTCGCTATGAGTTGGATCTAACTCGATGGCAGTGAGTTTGTTTTTTTTCTTACTCTATTTTATGAACCTTTGTGCACCTTCTGATCTCAACTAATTAATTCATATTAGTTGAGATTGACTTCATCTCATCCTATGATGATCGGATCTTTTTCCACTGCTCATAATCCTTTAGTGGCTCATCAGAAAAAATCCACGTTTCTGTAAGTGACATCCAAGGCCCTCAATGATCTGTCCTTGCTTTGCAGTCTTCTCTTTCTTTGTTCTTCCTAAGGAACTGATCATCTGTACATACCTTGTACTATTTCTCATTGCTTTTGCAACTTATTAAAATAATAGTAATTCTTTAACATCTGCCTTAAAAGCCACTTCCTTCATGAATATTTCAGGGCAAATGCCCATGCAGGGCCTAGATTCTGAGGGAAAAAAAAAAAAAAAGCTTTTTCAGTATGGAGAAGTAGGGAAATAATTTTTTTAAAATTTTGCAGCCTTCCTAATGATTTCCTGTATGGAAAAAACATGCTAGTTTGAAAAATTATTATTATTATTATTTTTTAATCTCTGGATGACACTACCAAGATAAATCTGACCTTCTTTTGCAGTGAGGAAGATGAAGATGAAGCCCTGTATCAGAAGGTATCCTCAGAGCAGTGCCAGGTAGAGCATCTCGGGGACTTGCTGTCCCATTGTCAGGAATGTGGTTTGGCAGGAGACTTCTTCATCTTCTGCCTGAAGGTAAGAACTGCATAAAGTGTACAGCTATCGTTACTCTTGGGTAGTCCAGGAGACCCTTTGAGTTTTTTTAAGGCATTCCTAATTTTAGGACCTAAACTTTACGGCCTAATTTAGGGAAAATTATCAAGAGGACATGAGGGTAATTTATTTTATAGTAGCTTTGAGAGGAGTGGTTAAGAAGATACTTACCTCTAGTAGCACATGTATAATCTAACTACTTCTAAAGTAATCTGCCATGAAATTTTGGACATGAATAGAACATGCCTGTGGTCCATGAGAGGGTTAATCTTTGCTCTGTGTTGACAGTAAGAGAACTCTTTTGAAGTTAATAGAGGGTTTTACAGCTATAGAGTAATCCCTTATCCTTTGTGATTCTTGTTTTGTCAGGTATCTGGAGAAGAGATTTAACAGTTCTGCCTCTCTCATTTAATTTTGTAGCCACTTGAAACTTTTTTCGGGTTTGTTTCTTAAGTGCTAATCATTATGCTTCCTTTTACCCTAATCTCTAATAGTAATTTATATAATGTTACTCCTGATTTGCACTCTGTGATAGCATACTCAGGGTGATCTCTGATTCCCTGTCCCCCAGCTCTGCCTTTTCCACTATTGCCCCTAAACGAAATGTTGAAGAGAATGTGGATAGAGTTTAAGGTTGGTGTGGAGGTGGGAGAATGCAAGGAGGGAATTGGCCACTTTTTGATGGTTTCTGACTAACTGTATTCATATCCATCCCCATGCCCACTTACTTGTTCTAAATAATATTCCAAGGAGATGTGCTTTTAATTGATACTTTTTAAAAACATTGATTAAAAAACAAACAAACAAAAAAAAAAATCAAAAGGTTTTGCTTTAAATAAGATTTTCTTAACCTCAGCTCTATTGACATTTCGGGCCAGATACTTTTTACAGTAGAAGGTTGTCCTGTGTGTTGTAGGATGTTTAGCAGCATAGCATCCTGGCCTCTACCCATTAGATGCAAGTGTTGTTGTTGTTATGTGCCGTCGAGTCAAACCCAACTCATAGCGACCCCTCCTTGGGTTTCCGAGGCAGTATCACTACAGAAGTAGGATTACCCAACCTTCCTTCCGAGGAGTGGTTGGTGGGTTTGAACCACCAGCCGTCTGGTTAGCAGGCAGGTGTCTTAGCCACTATGCTACCAGAGCTCCCTTAGATGCAAGTAGCACCCCCCAATTATGACAACCAGTAATGTCCCCAGATGTTGCCAGATGTTCCCTGGGGAACAAAATTGCCCAGGCACAGTTGAGAAGGGTGCTCTGAACTATCCGTTACTTTGTTAAAGCATTCATTGATAAGGAACTTAAGATTTTCCCTTCTCAAGGAAATTTACAAAGGTAGGTGAAAATTTAAAAGGTAGGTGAACAGCCTGCAAAACTCACAGTAATGAATTAGTTACTAGCAGAAGTTTAGTTCTCCTAACTATCTTAGTGGAGAAGGGCTATGGTACTGAAAGCATCTAATAGTCACTAAAAAGGGTGTGGGCTGAGGTCTCAATTCAAGGAAGGCTATTGGTAGGGATCATAAAAGTACTAATAAATCTGTCAGGCAAGTTCTTTATATGGATGTATGTGGTTTTTATTATTGTTATTACAAACTTTTACTTTTTTATATATACAGTATCCTGACTGCTAACCAGAAAGCTGGCGGTTCAAACCCACCAGCCACTCCTCGGAAGGAAGGTTGGGCATTCCTACTTCCGTAGTGATACTGCCTCGGA